TAATTTTTTTAACAAAAGAATAGAATTAGCATTTGAGCAAGTTTTTGTTAAAAAGTTAAGTTTTTTCTAACAAATTTTAAATTTTAATAGATAAATTTTATATTTAAAATTTAAAAGTTACATAACAATAAGCTAAGCCAAACAGCCTCATATATAAGTTTAAGTACAAATTTTTTCTAAGATGCTTGCCTTATAAGTTTAAAGGGTTTTGAAATAGTAGTTTAAATAGGCAAATAGTGAATAGATAATATCTAATAATCAATATATTTTTATTTATTCATTTGATTACTTCATTGTACTCTGTTAAATATATAGTAAGTAATTTTCTTCTCTTTTATCATTAAAGAAAAAGAAAAAAACTTTGTGACCTAAGTGGGCAAGTAGGGACTTTATCATTTCTAAGAAAACAAAGTCATGTTCGTGTATGTTGGGGAGATAACAGAAGGTGATGGGAGTCACTTTCGCTGGGACTAATTAATTTGATTGAAAAAAACAGAAAGGAAAACCCTACAAGAAAAAGGACTGTTTGTCCACTTAAAAATATTCTCTCTTTTTTTTTTTTCTTTTTTTTTTCTTTTTTCTTTTTTGCATTAGGGTTTTCACAAATAATTGAGTTTTTAGGGACATAGTCATTATTTCTTTCTTCATATGAGGTTGCAGCCATCGGGATATTTCAATTAAAAGCTTCAAGAGAAAATGAAAGCAACTACAATGTTCGTATACCAAACGACCGAAGCCCCTGTCAAAGGATCTTCATCTTTTTCAAATCAAGATTTCCCCCCCTCTCCCCTCCCTCTCCAGATGTTGATCTCTGCTTGCATTATGTGCCAGCAACCATATAAATTGACCCCGATGGATGGAAAGCATAGGAACAAATTAAACGTTGTGCGCCCCACTATTCTTTTCTTTGTGCTAGAAAGTAGTGGTGCATGATGATTCTTGGACGGATTCTGATTTTGGACAACGTACTGTACCAAAATCATTTTCGAGATATAATTACATTTCCATTTTGGTGTAAAAAGTTTTTATTTGAAGAGAGTGCCAGAGTGGAGACATTTTTTCATCTGCAATGATTTATATGCTTATAGTGTCATGTATGATTATAAAATTATTACCATAACCTTTATATTTTTTTATTTTAAGATTTATTTATAATATCATATATTAAATTATTTAATAAAATATTATTATTATAAATTTTATAATATCTACATATATATATTTTCATTCCAACAACACTAAAGTCAATGTCAATTGGTCACGAACTCGGTTTGGATTTTGGATCCATTCTCATGGCCCAATTATTTTTAGGTCATATCAGGCCTACTAAATACTCAGTTTTATTGAATGGGCCGGTGGGATTCTTATTTGGGCCTATTTTAGACTCAGGCAGTCAGGCTCTGTTTGGTCTCTCTGGGCTAAACCTAATTAAAAAAAAAAGAGAGAAAAAACTCCAAAATTTTTGGTAAATGATGATTAAATTAAAAAAAAAATGCTTGTAAATTAACAAATAAATCAATCCATAGACGGTGGAAGCAGCCAATCAAAATGACGCGCACTGTGTAATGGCGTTATTCATAAGGCATAAAAGAAATGGAAGAAGACAAAATGCAGCAGCACCACCATGGTTGCTCTACTCCCTCCTTCTTCCTCTTCACTGATGCTGTTGAATTTGTATATAATAACTTGAACAGGAGAGCTTCTTCACTCATAATTCCGTTTCCGATCGTTACACTCCGCAGAAACTTCGTCCTATGGCGTCACTCTCCAGCTGTTCGAGCCTCTCTCTGTTCGTTCGCGATCGAGGCAATCGGAATGACGCCACGTTTGCTAAGAAGTTGTTTGTTAAGTTAGCCAGACCAGTGAGGTTTAGTCGGAATCAAGTGAGTTACGGTTCTTCAAAACTGAAGAGTTTTGGAGTTGGAGTGGTGCGCGCCTCTGCGGAGGTGGTGGTGGAAGAGGCGGTCGTAGATAGAGAAGAGAAGAGGCGCATTTTGAGAGTTGGCGTAATTTGTGGAGGTCCATCGGCGGAGCGTGGAATTTCTCTGAATTCTGCTCGATCAGTTCTCGATCACATACAGGTATCAAACCATCTTCATCTGGAAGCTAAATTCATAAAACGAAAAGCGTCATTTGCTAGTAATCAGAACCTTTTGCCTTTTGCACTGAAGTAGTTATAAGTATTCTTACTAATTATTTTCAAAATATTATAGACTCTGATTTTAAGTACTTTGAAATGAATTGTTGGATACGAGTTTATTTTATTTGTGGCAGGGAGAGGATTTGTGTGTGAGCTGCTATTATATTGACTGTGATCTTAATGCCTATGCAATATCCTCTGCTCAGGTTTGTATGTTGTTTCTTTTTCCAATAATTTTGTGGAGCTGTTTTGTTACTTGTTGACTTGTGGTTGTTATCGTGATTGAAGTTGTCGAATGTTGATTGATAGTTTGTCGATCGCTTTTCAGGTATACTCAAATACTCCTGCAGATTTTGATTTTAAACTCGAAAGGTGAGCTGGTGTTGTTAGCTCATTGGTGGCTTGGTGCCATTAATTTGTTATGAACATTGGTTCTGTTATGATGGCTAATAGTACTCTTTTATTCCTATCTCTTCCAGCCTTGCACAGTGTTTCCAATCATTGTCTGACTTTGCAGAGCACCTTGCTGCCTCTGCGGACATAGTTTTCCCTGTTATACATGGTCGGTTTGGTGAAGATGGTGGTATTCAGGTGTGTTGTGGTAAACTCCTTGTATTTTTCTGGTTCAGCAATGCAATGAGATGATTCCTTGAAGGTTTTACTCATCTAGGGTCTCACATAAAACTTCTATTCATGTGATGACTATTCAGGAGTTGTTGGAAAGATATAATGTTCCATTTATTGGCACAGGATCAAATGAGTGTCGCCAAGCATTTGACAAGGTAAAAGAAACTTTACTGACTAATGCATCATTGATCACCTACATTAGATAATCGATATGGCCACTCATTTTGTTATGAACAGAGCCTTGGAT